GCCTGATGGCCCCCTTCCTGGTTCGCTTCCTCTTCCAGCCCCTCGTCGTGAGGCGCGGCCCCCTCCATCTGATAGATCTGACCTTCCTGAAGAACGGCCCCATGGACATCGCCTTCCTGCTACTCCGCGTGCTGATAGGCCCCCTCTTCACGATAGATCCGGCCTTCCCGATGAGCGCCCTCCTGGGCCTCTGCAACTTGCTGCCCCTGCTGCTGGGCGCGGTGGAAGGTTGGATCCCGCGGCTGCTAACGCTGGGCCGTGGCGTTGGGCCAGCCTGCCTCCGTCGAGGCCCCCCCCCCCTGCTGTCGACGGCTCTGCCCAGAACGTCGGCGACGCCCAGTCCGACCTCGAGGGCCCGACGCACTTGCAGGCGCTCTACGACACGGAGGTGCATGGCGACGAGCGCGCCCCTGAAGACGAGGCGGATGCCCCTCTTGAAGAACCTGCTGACGAGCTGGCTCTTGCGGCCTCCGACGCTGACCTCACCGACCCGCGCCTCCTGGAGATGATGCCCTTGCTGGAGGCGAACCTCTCCAATGGCAGCGTCGAGCCTGGGACTGATGGGACCTGCGACGGCGGCAACCTGTCCGCGGTCTTCCCCGACTACATTCCCAGCGAGAACTACGACGAGGGAGCCGACCTCGACGACCATTCCTTCGACGACCTGGACGCCAAAGCCGAGCCTGCGAGGCCCGAGGCGCGGCCGCGCGGCCCTGGGGCGTGAGGAGGTGGGACCTCAACCCGCGGACGCTCGTCCCTCCTCCTCCTCGAGCTCCTCTTCCTCCTCCCCCTCCCCCCCCCCCCGCCGCCCCCCCCGCCCCCGCCCCCCGCGCCCCCCGCCCCCTGCCCCGCTTGGATTCCCGAGCCCCCGCTTGCTTTCGCAGGGCGTCGCCGCCGCAAGAAGGCGCGCGCCGCCGACGGGCGCCCCGGCCATCCTCGGCCCAGCCCGAGGCCGAAGAAGGAGCAAGAAGAAGAGGAGGACGAGGATGGCGGGGGGGGGAGGGGGAGGGGGGAGGAGGAGGAGGAGGTGGAGGAGGAGGAGGAGGAGGGAGGAGGAGGAGGAGGGCCCCCCCGTCAAGAAGGCCCTTGAGCAGGCCCAAGAGTTCACGCGACATCGCGCGGCGGGCCCTTCGGCAGAGCGCCCGGGGCAATTCAGCGCAAAAACAAAAACACGAGACGCTTAGAATATCGCCCCGGGCCGCCCCGGCGGCCGCCGCGGAAAACCGGTCGGCCCCCGAGACGGGGCCGGAGGAGACATGTCGCAAGATGCCCGAGGGCCCTCCTCCCAAATGTGCGCCCTGGGCCGCCAAGAGCCGAAAATCCGGGCAGCCCCCGGCGCAAAATTCTGGCGCCCGCGAAGAGCCCCCCAATGGACGAACGCACGGAGCCTCATATTCATTATGGTTATATGCACTTATCTATAATTATACATGGCGGGACGGGCTGAGAGCCGAAAGGGTCGCCGCCCCGGGAGCTCGCAGAGATTCCACCCGCGCGGCGCTTCCAGCGGGTTCTGGGCGGCCTTCCAGCCGGCCGGCCGAACTGCGGGCGCGCGCGCACACCTCGCGCTCGCATGCCCAGATTGACCAAGATGGCCTCCCAAACGGCCGCGGCCCACCTTCGCGAGGGCCCAAAGTTTCGCTTCGAGCGCGCGCGCAGGGGCCCTCAGCAGCCCCAGTGCCGTTTCAAAACTACACAACCCGACCCCTTCAAAAAAAAAAGAATTTGCCAGATAATCCCAATGGGCAGCGCCATGCGCGCACCTTATGTTATTCGGCGGTTTTCGCGCCCTCGCCCGCTCCATCGCCCCGAGACGGCCGGCGAGGGCTTCCAAAAAATTCGGGGTTGCCCCGAGATTCTTCCGAAACAGCACCGAGGCTGTCGGCCGCCCAACGGGCCCCCCAGGTGGCCCAGGAAAGCCGCCCTCGGGCCCCGGGGGGCTCCGAGGCGTTTCCGAGACCGCCGCCCAGATGCGCCCACCCGAGCGGCTTTCCAACGCGCCGGGTGGCCCGACGGCACCACCACGCCAGCGGGCTCAAAACAATCCCGGCGCGGCCCAAGAGATCGCCGAAGGTTCCCATTGAAGGCCCGCCGAAGGCCCCTCCGCAGAATTTCCCCCGGCGGCGCCCACGCCGGCATGGGGGCGACCCCCGAGCCGCGGCCCCTGCCCCGCTGAAATCCCGCCCGGCCCCTTCGCACCCCGCCGGGGCTTTGAAAGTCCCCCGGGGCCTCGCGCCGCCTCCGACGCCGATGGGGGCCCCCCCGTCCTTCCCCGCGCCGCCGAGCAGGCGCGGGGCAACGCGGCGACTCTCGGTTCCCAGCCGCTCTACGCCGCGAAGCAAGAACCACCGCTAATGCGACCACCCCGCCGACGACGTAAAACGGATGGGAGGGGCGCGTCTGAGCGAGCGAAAGTGCCCGGCGACTGCGAGCGTTCGGACGCGGCCCCGACGCTCCGGCACCCTCCGGCAACTTCCGAAAAGCTCCCAAGACAAACCCCCCATGCACCTTCAAAGCCCTGCTAGGCTTTCGACATTCTTCTTGACTCTTGACCTCTGAGTAATCCCCCCAGCTCGCCCCGCTCCCCCAATCTCACCGGGCGCCTTCCCTGGCCACCTCCGCCTTCGAAAACCTTCCGAGCCCCTCCCGGGCCCTGCCCATTTCCCGAAGCCTTGCAGAAACCGCCCAGGGCACTTCCGCGCCCCCAAGCCCTCCGAAAAGTGCGGCGCTTCTCTTCCGCGCTGCCCGCCCCCGATCTGTCCCGGGCGGGCGGCGGACATTGGGGCGGCCACCGCGCCGCGCATCCTTTCGCGGCGCGGCAGCTGGCAGCCCTGCGGGGCGAGCCTCGGGCGTTTTTTTTTCGCCCTATCCGCAGTTGAGCAACTCTGGGCAGGGCCGCGCGGGCGGGGGGCGCTGCCCCGTGCCCCCCGCGCAGGCGTTCACTTTAGCGTTACAGTAGGGCGGCGTCCGCAGGCGGGCCAAGCTCGCAGCATTTGGCAGCTGGCGGCTGGGCCCTCAGCCATGACCCGCCCCTCGGCTAGCGCATTCTTCCTGTTGTTCTTGAAGACGCATGCGCACAGGGCCGACCCGGCGGCGTTCTGGGCCGACGCCGCGACATTGGTTTCGGCACGCCCAAACCAAACTATAATACTTTAAGTAGAGTTCCCGCTCATACCTAAATCAGACTTGGGTCTTAGGGCCAGAGTTAAATCAGAGTTCCAGTCAGACCTAAGCCAGTCTTGGGTCTTAGAGCCAGAGTTAAATCGGAGTCCCAGTCAGACCTAAATCAGAGATGGCGCAGAGGGCCAGACTTGAATCAGAGTTCCAGCGCAGACATGAATCAGACCATCGGAGTTTTGGGCCTGCACAGAGAAACAGAGTTTGCCCCCAAAGGACACACCCAATCCTCTGTCGTTTCATTATTTCGCGAATCTCGTCGCTATTATATTATGCGGCTGGTTTTGCCTTTAAGTGAATGTTTGGCCTTCAGTGGACATCGTCGTTTCTGGTTTCTCTTTTTTTTTTCTTGAGCAATTTCCACGCGCGCCCCCTCCCGCGCCTCCTATTCGCACGGGTCGATCCCTGCAGGAGAGGGGCAACCAAGCGAGGAAGAAAACCGCGCATCGAACCTCGCCGAGCTCCCGCAACTGAACTTTTAGGAGTCGCCTTCCAGCGTGGCCGCCCCGCCTTCGGGCGGGGCTTCCGGCGCATTCTCCTTCTCCCGTAAAAGTTGCGCCCGTCTTCGTTTTTGGGCCCTGGGTGTTTTTTGTTTCATCCTTTCTTCCCTGGGTGGAGTCCTGGGGCGAAGTTGGCCCGGGGGCCCCCGGCTCGGCTGTCTCAGGCGGGGCGCGCGTTTCACCGATCGTTCATGGCGCGTGCTTGTTTTTGGCGGTATTCCCGTCATGGTTGCGGGGGGTCGCGGGCCCCTTCCGGCCTTCCCCTTCTTCGCCTTTTTTCTTCCCTTCTTCCACCTGTTGTTTCTGCCTCGCGTCCGGGCGCATCTGCAGCATTCCGTTTTTTTTCGAGGCGTTCGGCCAAAAGGGCGGGCCCTTGCGCCGTTGTCGTCGGAGGAGCGATTGCAAACGGTTGTTTTGTTACTATTGTCTTCTTGTCGGGACGCCCTGGCAAGTCGCGGCCGGGTGCGGGCTCGAACAATTGGCGAGAACATGACCGCCTTCAAGGGCGAACCAGGGCCCAAGGCTTGTACAGTTTTGAAAATCGGAGTTCGGCTCAGTGGCTGAAAAAAGGTCTCCAAACATACCAGGTCTGCCAGGCGCGCCTGGGGCCAGAGCGTGCCAGGCACGCCTCGCGCACCAGATGCGCCGCGTGCTTCGCGTGCGCCATGTGCGCCGTGCGATCCAGCCGCGCCGGGTGCGCCACGTCCGGGGCACCCGCAGAGTGCGCCAGGTGCGCCCGCAAACGTGACATCGCACATCCGGAAGCTTGTCGGCCCCAGTGACAAAGTCACTGATAAACCTTTCCCCGAAGGGAAGAAGAGTTGGAAGAGAAAGCGCATGGCATGTGGAATTCGCCCTTTGTCCTCGCTGCTGGATGACACGGCACATGTTTGGAGTTTGAAGGGAACGCTGTTGGAGTCCAGCCCCACCTCGCAAAGTCCAGGTCCTCTGAACAAGAACATTAGCCATTAGCTCACCCCCTGGCATGCTCGTGACGCTCGCCCCCGAGTTTCATGGTGTCACTCTTATGCTCACCCACATCATGCCTATCTTCCCCATCATCATCATCATTCGGATTTGTTCTCATCTTGCTCTTCATCATTATCCTGGTATCGCGTCTCCGACCTCGCCTCCCAGGCCCAGCGAGGGCCCCAGGAGGTCGAAATCGACGAACAACCTCCGTCGTGGTTCTTTCCACGGCGCCAAGATGTCGGGGAAAGGGGCTACAGGCCAGCGGCGTCGCGGACGGGCGGGCGCCGCCTTTCAGACGCCGCGCGAGTCTTGCTGTCCTGCGGATAGCACGCCCCGCGGCGCGGCGCGGAGGCGATATTCACCACCGAGGAACCGCCGGCAAAGCAGATCAGGCGCCCAGCCCCTGGGCGATCACGCCAGGGAGAACAGAGAGAGGGAGAGAGACAGAGAGAGATACTTATAGATGCAGGGAAAGAGAGATGGACAACAAAGAGTGACAAGAAGAAACATGAACGCAGTAGCCGCATCAGATAAAGATCCAGCAGGTGCCTCACGGGATTGTCTTAGTCCCCGTTGGCCCAATGGACCCACAGAAAATCCAAGGCACATCAGGATTCTCAAAGATCGACGAAGAATGTGCCCCAAAATTGCTCAGGCCTGACGGCCGGTATTTTCGACCCTGAAAGGGGACGACGACGACGACGACGACGACGACGACGACGACGACGACGACGGCGGCGGCGGCGGCGACGACGACTCCGACGCCGACGCCGACGGCGACGCCGACGGCGACGGCGACTGCGACTGCGACTGCGACGGCGACGACGGCGACGATGGCGACGGCGATGACGACGGCGACGTTGACGCTCTGGAGCCGAAAGCTTTTCAAAGGAACGGTTCCCCCCCCCCCCCCCCGGGTGGTGGGGTCACAACCCCTGGGACCCCCCAACAGCCCCCCAGGACCCCCCCTGCGGAACTCCCACCCCTCCCGACGGGGGAGGGATCAAAGGGAAGGGGCTTTCTGTCGACTCGATTACGACGTTATTGGATTTCCCTTTGGCTTGAACGCTTGAGGAGGAGGACCCAGGGATCGGGGTGGAGCGGCGACTTTGACGAATCAAACGAAAAAGCCCCTCACACACGCACACACCGACAGGGTCGGCGGAGTTCGCACAGACAGATTTATCATCGTATCTGTCCATTGTAGAGGCGTGCAGGAGGGAGAGAGAGCGAGAGAGCGTGGATCGCTCCAGCGAGATATTGCTTGCTCGCATGCAGGGGAAGCTCGTTCATGGGAAGCTCATTCATGGCGAAAGGCTCGCATCCCTACGATTCCGAAGTGGGTGTATTGGCAGCTTGTCTGGGAGGTGGTACTCGAGAATTTGAGGCCCCAGCTAATTTGATCATCCTGGAGTGCAGAAGTACATCTGAAGGACCTCTTTCATATGGCAGCCCAGGAGATCAAGCGACGCGTCCAGCGTCATGGCGCCCACACTTCGGAAGAAAAATGTCGGTGGTGCCTGGGAGTCTTGCGGGCAACCCACTGCAAAAACACCAAGCAGGCGTTGATTGCTGCTCCTGTTTGCTCTGAGGTCCAGGACATCCCGGGCAGCTGTTGCCCACAGGATTGGGCCCCTGAACAATTCGCCATCGAGGTGCTCGTAAGGAGCTTCAGCCAGACGACCACCGCGGACCGATTGCGGGAGCTAGAAGACTGCAGTTCTTTGCCTGACTGCCACAAGAGCCAGAACAGTGCAATTATATTCTCGTGGGTCGCGCAATTCTCCCCGAGACGGCGCCTAACGGGTTTGCAGGACTTTTTGGATACCGACGGCCTCCCTATCATAGACGCTGCCCGCGCGCATGCTGCGGTATCGAGCCATTGGGGTCCTGCGGTTGCTGCGCAGCCTGTCGATGAGCTCACCGCCCGCTAGTTCTCGACGGGCACACCGTCGCCCTCCCGAACATCCACTGGAGCACCAGCTGCCCAGAGTTTTCGCGAGTGCTTCGTGGATTGGTGGACTTTGCTCCTGGCACAGATGGCGTTCTCTACTGCGTGTGGAGGAGCGCGCTGGAGTGGTGCCAACGAGCCCTCTTCCATGCTATGGTCGACTGGCTCGCCGGGCCGCCATTCCTAGAGAAAATAACGCTTGATTGGCACTTCGAACTTCTTACGAAAGGGCCTGATCCTGCCACGGGTTCTCGTGGCTTCAGGCCTCTCCAGGACAAGCGGCCCTTTCAGGCGCAATACAGACGTCAAGATTGTCGCCTCAGCCGTGAACCACTTGCTCAAGCCTGCAGTCGCAGGGGAAGGAGGCGCCCGTGTGAGCGGAAAACCGACTCGGGTGAGCTGGCCCGGGGGCGCTTCGCATTGCACCAATTGCTAAGGCCGGAGCCAAACTTGAAGCGCACAAACACTGGAAAGGGCCCACCCGGCAAGTTCGGAACACACCACATCGTTGAGCGGTGGTGCGGCCCCCCCTGAGCACAGGCCCGCCCTGGAGTATCAGCCAGACGAGTCGGGTTTGCACCCTCACGCCTTGCTGGGTGCCGGGCGCGTTTCGGCACTGCTCCCGCGGGGGCCTGAGCTAAGGGGAGGCCGCACCACCGCTGAACGTTGTGGTGCGTTCCGAACCTGCAGGGTGGGCCTTTTCCAGTGTTTGTGCGCTTCAGGTGTGACTCCGGCCTCAGCTGGTGGTACAATGCGAAGTGCCTTCGTGCCAGTTCACCCGAGTCGGTTTTCCGCTCACACGGGTGCCCCCCTCATGTTTGTCGTCTTGTCTTGTCTCCCCTCCCTGCTGTTGCTGTTGCTCCCCCGTCCAGCTCAGAGGATATCGAACTCCTCGCAGTCTGGTGCACGCCGCCAGGCTGGGACGCGTCGGCCACCGCCACTGTACTGTTGGTGTCGCCGTCACCCGAGTCGGAGCCTGCAGTCGGCCAGTGGGCAGCGAACGCCCAGCGTGGATTTATCAAGGGACGGCAGACGATGGACAATGTGATGGAAGGCGAACACACACACACACACACGGCGACGGCCGCCTTTTCCTGTGGCCACCAAGATGGCCGGCTACAGGCGACAGAAACCCCAGCATGTTTACTGAGCGAATTCGGGGCTGCATTCCCGCGCTTGTCATTATGTTATCGTTGGAAGGTTGTGGAGATCATCGGAGTGCCCACCAGAACTATGACGGCATTCCATCATCTGTACGCTCGCAACTGCCACGTTTGCAGTTTCAGTGGCAGGGTATCCCTCGTGATTGAAAGGACGCAAGGAGTGGAGCAGGGTTGCCCTGTCAGCCCGACTCTCTTGATGGTTGCCCTCGACCCGTACTGGCGTTCGATGTCGTCCCACCCGAGCGGCAAATCGTTGGTGCGGGCACTCGCGGACTAGTCCTCACCCGCATGTTCGTGGATGGACCAGTTGCCATCTTGCTGTTCCACAAGTCTGCGACTACATCAAACCTTCGAAGCCTAGCGCAAAAATGTGTAATCATTCATTTGTGGAGCATACCTTGCATAGTTTTGATCAGCTGATCCAGGAGGACATACCAGAGTGGAGCCAGTTCGAGAAAGCGTTGTCTGGCAAATCTGCGGGGGCCGTCTAAGGATCCGGCGCCGGGGCTTCTTCATTGGTGCCCCGACCCACAAATATATTTCAAGACTAGGGTGCGTCTACGACCTATGTCTGAACTTCCTGCCTCAGCATTGCTGTGCAATTTCGTTGCTATCACCTTGCTCACTTTTGTATCGCAGCTGGTCGTTCCCACAAGCGACCTGATCGACACAGAGCGTGACATGCTGTGCAAACTGGTCCGTGGACCAGGGCCTTGGTTGCCCAATCGCGGCGAGCAGTTGCAAAGCCCGACGCCTTCGGGTTTCCGACCCTTTTTCCATTCTATCTCCGCGCTGCACCTGGCAGATGCTGCGAGGACAATGGCTGATCCGCGGCCCGATGGCATGATTGCAGGATGCAGTCCATTGCGACGAGGCCCCTCCTCAGTGACGATGGCAATCGTGGTTGGGTTCCTTGTTCGAGCTCCGCTCGGGACGCAATGAGGGACAAACGCGTTACTGTACAGGGAGACTCTGGGACGTTCTCGTCCTAGGCCGCTGTATGTCCCCAGTTGCATGCCAGTCTTATTGCCATCGGGCTTGGAGGGGTTGTCCGTCGGCGCCTGGGCCCGCGGCGCGACTTCACAGGGCTAATAAGTGTAGGTGTTAATGCTGAGCATGGAACTCCCAAGAACTCCCATCTTTCGCCTCTTCGAGGGCATCGTGCCACCAGCAGTGGCTTCTGCTTGTATTCGTATTTTTGGTCACTGGGTGTAGTTGTGTCCGCTGCTTCAAGAAACAGGCGGCGTGCTTTTGCTGCAAGGCAAAATCTGTAGCCGATTCGAGAGAGCATTACTGACGCCGCGCAGTCCTAATGAAGGCAGCCCGCCCAAATAGACTTTAACGAACGTGCGTTCCGCGATCTCCTCCTCGGGAGGGCCTGGAGGCATTCGTACAGATACGTCGATATACCCGTGTACTGTTGCTACAGTGCCACAGCCCACCCCCGGCACCAGAGCGACTCAGCGAACCCATCTCGGTTTAACAGATCCTAGTTCCGAGGCATTGTGGAACGCATGTGAAGTCCCATGGGCTTTTGATCGATCCCCCCTTTCTCCTCTCCTTTCCACATTCCCCTCCTTTGCTCCAACGTTGCAGCAGAAGGTGTTTTTCGCTTCAAAAAAGCTATGCTCAGTCGGCGTACGCGCTGCAGGGTAGAGTCCGCAGCAGGCGCGCCGCAGCTTGTTTTGCCTGTCCTTCTCTCTTCCGCTCCCCGCCGGGAGGAAGAGGCGGTCCACACGTTGGTGGCGTTCGCCCGAGCTCCAACTCGGTGCTCCATGGGACAAGGCAGATCGTTATGGAATCGGCGCTAAAGGTTTTGTTGTCACAATCCTGTGCGATACGCGATACCGAATGTTGTCGCTCGAGCTTGCCGCTGGCACATAAGATCCCTTCTCGTTCTCCACCACCTCCTCCTTCTCCTCCTCTTCCTCCTGTCTTTCTCTCTCTCTCTCTTTTTTTTTTTTTTTTTTCTCTCTCTCTCTCTCTCTCTCTCTCTCTCTCTCTCTCTCTCTCTCTCTATACATATATATATATATATGTCGCTTTCTCTCTCTCTCTCTTCCTCTCTCTCTCTCTCTCTCTCGGCACTCTGAGCGTTCGTTTCCACACTTTTGGTGGGGAGGACAGCGGCTTGCAAGTGCAACCGTGATCTATGAGCTTTACATATTTTGTCTAACCAAGGCGTGTTTATACTCAGCTTTCGGTGTGGTTGGCATTGTCGTTACGATGGTGGTTGCTTAGCCATGCTGTCCGCTCGAAAAGATGATAGGGCAGGTGA